TTTATTTAACCAAATTAATTTCACATAGAAACTTAAATCTCTTGTACCACTCCAATAATTAAAATACTGAAACAGAATTTTAATTAATGAAAACTCAGAAAATAATATCTAAAAACCAAAATTAATTTCCTGACGAAATTCCACAAAAATATATTCTAAATTGTTAATGACACCAGTATTGTACTACTAGTTATCAAAGAAAATAGACAGTATATTACTACTAACTATCAAATAGCATATAATCACTATTTGTTTTTCTAACCAGAATATTATTTTGAAAATCCACAGAAAATAATTTTTCTTAAAAGAAGAAAGAGAAAAGGAAACAAACGAAAAATTTTGTAAACAGAATAATTTAAATCTGTCTTAAGATTGTTAGAAACAATCTTATATGAAAATAAAATAAACTAAAATTAAATTCAAACAAAATAAAATAAAACTTACAGTATTTATTTTGTTGAACCGAATAAATAATTCAAAGACCAAGTCAAATGTGTGACACTCTGTCCTTAAGACAGATTCGCTCCCTACCTCAAGCAAGAAGAAAAAAAGAACCACACCCGAAAATCAATGAAAACGGAAATTCAAACTATTCAAATTAAAACGATTCCCTCTTCAAGCCCAACTTTTAATTCAAAAGCACGAGGTTCGAAAAATCAATGGATCAAAGTAGATTGGAGAATTTACACTAGGTTTTCAAAAAGAGATGAGAGCAAAAAAGAAGAAGATATTTCGTAGAGAGAGACAGTGTTGGAAACAATTTTCTGTGAAAATAAAATAAACTGAAATTAAATTCAAACAAAATAAAATAAAACTTACAGTATTTATTTTGTTGAATCGAATAAATAATTCAAAGACCAAGTCAAATGTGTGACACTCTGTCCTTTAGACAGATTCGCCCCGCTACGGTACTTACGGTTGAGTGGTGTCTATCTCCCAAGATACAATGATCTTCACAAATTTGTAGAAGCACTTCAAACAAATTTGTTCGGCGAACTAAACATGTGATCTATACTCTCTTTAAATTATTCTAAAACTAAATATGAAGAATAAATGCACTAGAGGAAAAATTAGACAGCAATGGGACAAAATAACAGACTGAATTTTTCCGACCCCTAGACTGCTGGAATCAGATTGTATTTGTAGGCAAATTTCCAAAGCCCCGAACAGGTACCAAACCCCGAAGTCAACAGGTGCAAAACTATTCACAATTTGAATATATAAATTGACCGTTGGTCAGAACAAAATTTCAAACAAATGAAAAAAGTGAGCTGTTAGTGGAACAGATTCCTTCCATCTGTTTGGAAAATTTATTATTAAACTATTTGGTATATATATACTAAACAATTAGAATATATATAATAAAATATTTGAATAGTTTAATAAATAAAGGAAGATGTACAAACTTTAAGAAATCACTTAGGAACTCAAAAATTTTAATTTAGAATTAAATTAAATTCCCACAATTATAAACTTTAGGAAACCACTTAGGAATCCAAAATTTGAATTTAGATTTAAATTAAATTTCCACAATAATTTTTATTGAAAAAATTCAAATAAATTTTATCTAAAAAATTAATGTTAGACTCGAAAAACGACGTCAACTTCCCATTCGCTCATAAATAGTTTTGACGTTCTGTCTTCACCTCTTCGGACCCACCCCAAACAACGTTTGGGGCCCACTCAAATTTGGGCTCAAAAATATGCCTATATTAAACCATTTTTCCAACAGACAGATCAAAAAGTGAATAAAAATAGACTTTTCTTGTAGCTTTATTCAAACAGACTACTCGAGTGGTGAAATCTGCACTCGAGCATCAGAACGAAAAAACCAAACTCGAGCGAAAAAACCAAACTCCTAGAAATTCATCTCTGCAGAACAGATTGCTCAAGCAATGGAAGCTAAGCTCGATCGTCAAACACCAAGGATCGCTTGAACGACAAACCTAAGCTTGAGAAAAGAAAGTAAACTCTCAGAAGTTCAGACCGCAAACCTAGAATTGGGAGAAAGAAAAACCGCTCATGCGATCAAACAACCGCTTGAGCAAACTCAAGTTTACTCAGTCAAAATCATCCCAGAATTACCAATCTCAACCTGTTTCAAACACAACTCCAAAACCAATTTTCAACTCAAAGGCCACCTAGGATAAGAATCATTTAGAAGAATAAAAATAGATGTCAATGAAGGTAACTCAGAATTTCAAAGATAGTAATAATCCTAAAATAGAATAGAAATCCAAAATACATTCCCACGTAAGTCTCACAAGTAATGAGGACATCACACTGATTCCGTCACCACAATCACAATAACGCGTAATCAAACAAGACAATAGTTTGTAATTAACATCAATTTAGACAAAAGTTTATATATATGTACATAAATAAATATGTATTATACCATTACCCTATATTATGTGGGAATTATTTGTAGTCTCAAAGTGTCATATGGCATTGTCATTGTACATGTGGTATTCTTGACCAATAACATATCAAAAAAAATTTATGAGGTGAAACAATGCTAATGTACCCTTATTAGGTAGTTACAAGACAAGAAATGACTTACCAAATATATTTTGTTATTCTTCATTTGTCGAAAATACAACATAAATAAAACGACACAATCTTACCTTGGGAGTTTGCTAAGAAGCTTGCATATTAGTTAAAAATAATCCTATAAAACAATTAGGATAAATTATAAATACACTTTCTGATATTTATTTAAAAAATGAATTGTCTCCTATGATTTTAAAAATTATAACTTGCCTCTTGAATTTTATAATTTCATAACAAATAGTCTCTTTTATTAATAAACCACCATACTAATTAACAGTTTTTAATGATATCAGGAATCTATTTCAATTAATAATTTAGATAATTTTATTATTGTATAGAAAAATAGTTACAATTTTTATTTTTTCAATTAATTTTGTTAAATAAAAATTTATGATAAGGGGTATTTGTAATTTTTCAAACCATAGGAAATAATCTATATTTTAAACAAATCTCAAAGGGTATATTTTTAATTACTCAAAAAACTAGTGTTAAAAAACTATTTTCTTTGGGAGTAATGCTAGAGATCCCAAATAATCTACCAAATGTTTTACCAAACCTCTGACATAGGTGTGGGACCCACACACATGTCGGTTTGTGTGGGTCCTACACCCATGTGAGAGATTTGGTAAAAGGGAATGGCTTCTGCCTAGTCCTTAATCGGACTGGACCATGTTGTTGGGCCCGTGGAAGCCTACCACGGGTCCCGTTTTGATAATCTGAACCGTCAATGTGTAGAACTCGTCGAGTACTATATGCCTGTAAAAAATCACATTGATCGGATATCGATAGCTATGTGATCAAAACAGATTTTTGACAACTGTTAATTTATTCACCGTCCATTTTTTTTTTATACAAAACTGATTTGATCACATAGCTATCGGTATCCGATTAATGTGATTTTTTACTAACATATAATACTCGACGAGTTCTACATATTAAACAATTCAGATTATCAAAACGGGACCCGTAGTGGGCCCCCACGGGCCCAACAGCACAGTCCAGTCTGATTAAGGACTGGACAGAAGCCATGCCCTTGGTAAAATATTTGGTAGATTATTTGGGGATCATAGCATTTTTTTTCCTTTGGGACATTCTTCTTTCTTTTCTTTTCTTTTCTTTTCTTTTTTTTTTATTTTTTTAATAATTTTTTAGTGTGTCTAAATAGGACGTTTGGCAAGAAAGAAGTTTTCTGAGTTAAAAATATTTTAACAAAATGAATTTTTTAACCAATAAACGGGCTTCCTCCAAATGGTGTACTTTTCTAAGACCAATAATAAACACAAATTTTAAGGGGTTGGCTTGGTAAGCGATGCTTAGGTTCAAATTTTACTAGTGTGTTATGTAGTCTCCCCTTCTCCTATTCCCTTTTTACATAGTGTAATAATAATAAGGTTTTGCTAATGACAATCCTAAGTACTGTCAATAATAAACACAATATCAAAATATTTATAATCTTAATACATATTTTACATATCTCAAAATATTTTTATACATTTTTATTCATTCTTTAGACATTTCAATACACTTTTTCTAAACAACAACTCTTAAGGTTATTTTTAGCATTTTTCATAATCATAATAATAATAAGAAGAAAAAGAAGAAGGGGGTTAAGCACACAAAGCAGCTTTGCACTTTTTTCAAAATCTTACTTTAATCCTTTTGCTTTTAATTTTTGTTAGGCTCTTAAATTATAGATGGACAAAAAGATAAAATTACAATTTGACGGAGATTGACTATCATAATTGAAAGTGAATGATTTAAAGTGAAATTTTGATGAAAGTGAAAAAATATTAAGTATAACTAACCCTAATAACAATAATAACCAAAAAATTGTGTCAAAACAACAGATGATAAAAACAACAAAAGGCCTTCAACATGTAATAGATCTTGAAGTACTACTGCATCTCTCAGAACAAATTCCCAAGTACTACTAAAAAATTTTGATAATATGTTGAGACAAATAACTACTCTCTTGTCCTCTCAAAAAAAATCAATAAATGCTATGGGCTATGAATATATCCTTTGACATTTATCCTGAAATGAGTTATATGGTGTAAAATTAAAATTTGTGTGATGTTAATTCCATCTACAATAATTGTGATTTATAGATTTGTTTTCTATATATTTTTCTGGGTATTTTTCTAAATTTATAGGATTGCTGGAAACTTGTCCTCTCTCTCTCTCTCTCGTCCATTTCTCTCACTAATCGTGCATGGAATGGAGGAGCCAAGGGGTTGTGTGTTGCATTGTAGCAAATTGCTAAAGCTAAATTATACTGTACCCCAAGTAGCAGGAACCACCTCCCCCACTCAGAAACGCATATCTAACAGTAGTAGTAGTGACTTAAGATTCTTTTCTAGTTTAGTATGATATATGACAACGTAAGCGTATCAATCAACCTTCAATCCTTGTCCTCCTCGTCTTATAAATATTCCCACCCTCCCTTTCACTCTTTTCTCAAGCCCAGCTTAACTCAAGTGCGTAAGTATCCCAACCCAACTTTGTGGGAATTGGGAACTGAACTTGAGAGAGAGAGAGAGAGAGAGAATGTTGGGGAAGAAGTGTAAATCCATAGCAAAGCTACCTTCTTGTTGTGTACCAAACTCGGATTGTGTCTGTTTGGGTCATCGGAGTCAAGTTGCCAGCGAAACGGTGCATGCCAGAAAGCTTGCTGCTGCTGCTGCTGCTGTGCCGGCGTCGTTGGAAAGGTGCAGTGTGTGCTTAGAGGAAGACGAGAAGGTGTGTAAGTGCGACATCAATATCAGTACTGAGGAGGAGTTGTTCAAGAGTAGTAGTGTGATCGACCAGGCTGCTACTCCTAGAGTAAACGCCAACAGTTCTTTTGCTCATGCTGTCATCAACATGGTTGGAATGCTTATAGGTATTAATATCTTCCCTTTTTAACTTGAGTAGCGTTATTCTAATTCAAAAATTAGATTTATATTTCAAGTTGATTGATTAACCAATCAATTACTCTTATGTGTTATTTTACTCTTTTATAATTTCTCTAATTATCAATTAATTATTTCGCTTACACATTATTAAGTCTAGAAAATGAATTTAAAAAATAATTTGGCTTACACATTAAAATGAATTGGGTAAATTATAAATACACTCTCTGAGATTTGATTAAAATACGAATCGCTCTCTATAATTTTGAAAATTACATTTTACCCCATGATGTTTCTAATTTCATAACAAATTGTTCCTTTTATTAATAAATCATCAAGTCAATTAACAGTTTTTAATAATGTTAAAAATATGTTTCAAATAATAATTTAAAAAATTTTATTATTGTATAAAAGAGCAATTATGAATTTCATTTTTTTAAAGTTAATTCTAGTTAAATAAAAAATTCTAAAAAAGAGATATTTGTAATTTTTCAAATAACAGGGGACAATCTGTATTTTAAACAAATCTCAGAAGATGTATTCATAATTTACCCAAATAAATTTAAAAAATGAGACTTGTATATATCATTTTTCTTTTTAACTTTGCCTTCTCACTGCTCTTCATTCTTCCTTTTTACTTTTGATGGTTCACAATTCAATAATTATTTAATAAAAGTAAATTAACATCTCCCACTTGTAATTTTTTTACTGGCCTCGTTTGAAAATAGATTTTTTTAGTAATTTTTTAAATTTTTTGCTAAAATATAATGTAAAAAAAATTTATATGTTTTTGTTGACTTTTTGACTTTTTACGAAAAGATGTACAAAAAGTAAAGAAAAAATGAAATTTTTAGACTTTTTTATATGAATGGTTGGTTTTTTAATTTTTTTTGATAACTTTTTAACTTTTTGACTAAAAAAATTACTTGCCAAATGAGGCCTAAATGATTGATTTACAACACTAAATAAGTTATGTCACATCATTTTTAAATATTATTGAGCAGAATTTTACGTAATCAATATCACTTCATGTTACATTAGCTGACATAGTACTCTTAAGCCCCGTTCGTTTGAGGTTATAGGAAGTGAATTGGGACTACTAATACCTTAAGGTCATGTTTGATTCAAAAGACTAATAGTGAAGTATTAATAATCCTATTAAATTAGTGTAGGATTCACTATCCAATTGGATTAATATCCATTGGATTAATAATCCCACCCCTATCCCATTACTAATAATCCTACAAATTTGTTGGATTAATTATCCATTGGATTAATAATCCTAAACCAAAATGTTAAAACAAACATGAGATAATTGGGCCCACGGATTAATAATCCTAATCCCATGCTCTAATCCACCCAATCAAACATGCCTTTGAGCTACCAAACATTTTCCAAAAATTACTTGCCAAATGAGGCCTAAATGATTGATTTACAACACTAAATAAGTTATGTCACATCATTTTTAAATATTATTGAACAGAATTTTACGTAATCAATATCACTTCATGTTACATTAGCTGACATAGTACTCTTAAGTCCCGTTTGTTTGAGGTTATAGGAAGGGGATTGGGACTACTAATACCGTGATATTACTAATACCTTATTTATTTTGAGAGATGGTCTTGGGACTACTAATACCTTGGTATTACTAATACCCTTGGAAGGGAGATTCATAGTGAGGAGGTAGAGATGGTATTAGAAAAATAGTGAGGGGATTAGAAATTTTTTTATTTTTTATATATTGTGAATTTTTTTTAAAATATTAATGTTTGATTTTTATATTTTTTTTATTTGTTTTATTATTTTATATAAAAATAATTTAACAATTTCTCACTATTAATCTCCTCACTATCAATTCCCTCACTGTTAATTTCTTCCATTCTATCTCTGAAAACAAACGGACGTTAATGTTGACATGCTAAATCAAAATTGGATAATTCTTACCTGAAACATCGTACTACTGTTTAACAGGGCTTGGACAATTATCAACTCCATTTGCTCTACAAAACGGAGGATGGTCCTCTGCATTCCTCCTCGTCGGCCTCGGAATAGTCTGTGCATACAGTTCCCACCTCCTCGGAAAATGCCTCTCCAACAACCCCAAATTAATGAACTACACCGACATCGGACACCACGCTTTCGGCACCAAAGGAAGGCTCCTAGCAGCCTCTTTCATCTACATGGAAATCTTCATGGCTCTTGTTTCCTACACAATCTCTCTCCACGACAACTTAAATACCGTCTTTTTCGGGGCCCACTTCGACTTACCCTCAATTCACTTATCGACCTCTCAGCTGCTGACTGTGATCGCGGTCTTGGTCGCGCTTCCCAGTCTGTGGCTGAGAGATCTTTCTTCTATATCTTTTCTTTCCATCGGGGGTATTTTTATGTCACTCATTATTTTTACGATGGTGGCTTTAACGCCTATTTTGGGAGGCGTGAAGGCGAACAGGGAGATACCGATTCTTCGTGTTGAGAATATTCCGGCGATTTCTGGGCTTTACATATTCAGTTTTGCAGGACATATTGTCTTCCCTAATATTCATAAGGAGATGAAAGATCCCTCCAAGTTCACTAAGGTTTGTCATTCTCTTCTTTACTTCTATTACTTAAATTTCTTTTACAATAATGACATTATCACATTATTCTGATCAATTTTTTTTGTATGAATAAAATTCTCTTATGTTTTTGTAATTTGTTTTATATCTTTTGAAATATTGTAATCATATTTTTATTCCAACTGAAAATTGGTTAAGTGTGGGGGGCAGTTGGTCCCACTAAGTGCTTTTTTGATAAAAGAAAAATATTTGAGATATTTAATTTATCATTTTTATAATTCACTTTTAACGATGTGTTTGACAAGTATTGAATTTTGATTTGTTAAATATTTTATATGCGAGATTAAACTCAATATAATATCATTAGAATTGTTAAATATTTTATATGCGAGATTAACCTCAATATAATATCATTAGAAATGATTTAGAAGTGATAAATTAAAGAATTGTAGCATTATTGTTTGGCAAAAGCTCAAGTCAACTTATAATTGCTGCATTTTACATAATAGCACAGCAACATACATGTACATGCAACTTTTGGATTATAAAAATTTTGAGCCAGAAAAAGAATATTAATTATTACCATTAAGATTCACACGTTTGGTTTTATTAGGAATCTTTGTGAAAAAAATAAAAAATAAATATGGTGTGATTCATAATTATTTTTTATTCTTAAATAGTTAAATATTTTTCTAAAAATATGAAATTCCTGTGAGAAAGTAAGGGAATCATATTCTTACTTGGTTTAAGAATATAATTCTTGTTAAAATAAATAACTTTATTATTTCAATTCATTTCAAAATATTGGAGTCATAGAGACCCACAATTATATTATCGTTCTTCCTTAAAATTCATGTCATCCAAACTTGACCATATATTAATATAAAAATAAAATACAAATTCTCTCCATTACATGAAAGGGATAGAGATGTTCATGAGTCTGATTTTGCTCACACACTTAAAGAATATGCGCACAATACATATATTTTGATTGGTTGTGAAATAGTAGAACCTACCATTTTAGGTAGGGTCATTACACTTTTTGAGTAAACCAACTAGGCCTAACCTAGTTGGCCACCATATCTCCCTTAGGGTTTAATTCCAAGGAGGTCATAGGTTCAATTTCCCTTAGAGGAGTTGAATTAAGAGTGTGCAAGCACTTAGTGCTTTGCCAAAGGTGGAGAGATTTTCTCCCATATGTACTAATCTAACAATTAACAACTAATATTTGCCGATCAAAAAAAAAAATTACACTTTTTGAGTATTAGGTCCACAATCACATTTTGTGTATTGTTTACACGAGAAATTATTTTTTGCTTATGGGATATATTCATGCGGTGCCCTAACTTCAAAGTCATTGGTTGAAATAATGGAATCCAATACTTTTTATTGAGTTTTTGGAGAATAACTTGACAAGTGTCAAGCAATGAATGATGTGAAACAGTAAACCATACCACCAAATAATCACTCTCTTCACATACTAAAAATGTGTATGAACAAATTCATTCTTCATGTCCATTGCATCAAGAGTATATCATTTCTGCAAAAAGATGTTGTACAAACTAATATGTTATACTAAGTTTTTCTTATTCACCAATGTGTGTTATGTAATTAAGAAACAATAAAATCTAAACAGGATCCATTTTAATAATGTGATAAATTAATATTATTTTCAATTGGTATGAGAGCATACCGATTTCTCAATTGGTATAAGAACATATTGAATTCTCAAACTCACATGTTAATTACTTTTTTGCATGCAGGTATCTATAGTGAGCTTCACATTGGTGACACTACTCTACACAGCCTTAGCCTTCATGGGTGCCAAAATGTTTGGCCCTGAAGTAAATTCCCAAATCACCCTCAGCATGCCTCGCAACCTCATAGTCACAAAGATCGCGCTCTGGGCAACGGTTCTCACCCCAATGACCAAATACGCACTCGAATTTGCACCCTTCGCAATGCATCTCGATCACCATCTCTCTCATTCCATGAACATGAAATCCAGGACAAGGACGATCATCCGAGGCAGTGTTGGCTCATTTTTGTTGCTTGTAATACTAGCCTTGGCTCTCACTGTGCCCTACTTTGAGTATGTTCTCAGCCTCACAGGCTCTCTCGTCAGCGTTGCAATTTGCATCATTTTTCCATGTGCATTCTACACCAAGGTTTTTTGGAATCAAATATCAAGACCGCTTATCATTCTCAATGGATTGCTCATTGTGTTGGGCTGCCTTCTTGCTGTGTCTGGAACCATTTCATCATCCAAGTTACTTATAAGAGACTTACATAGAGCTCACTCGCCATGAGAATAAACCCATGGAGAAGTTATAGTCTTTGCGAGATTTGAATAGTTTTTCTTCTTCTTCCTCCTCTTGTTTTTTTTTTTTTTTTTTCATCAAAATAACAAGACTTTTCGTTATTACTTTCCGAGTCCGAGGGACTATTGCTGTAGAATCTATTAATAGCATTCAAGGTTAAACATGACTCCTAGAGAGTTACCAAAATACGAAGTTCTCTTCCCCTTTCGTTCTCTTCTTTCTTTTTTATTTTTACTTGGTTGGCAGGGTCAGGGCCTTTCTCGCTGGGCGAGCGCATCCGATTCTAAAGTCCTTTCCTAAACCACTTCCCGTTCAGTTGCTGAAAGATAGAGATAAGCTTTCTAAATGAGATTGAGTTCCACGAATATGCAGGCTAGAAAGATGCTATTTGCTGCTATTCTATCTATTTGTGCATCAAGTTCGAAGAAGATCTCAATCTATAATGAAGAAATGATAGTAGCTCGTTGTTTTATAGGCTTTATCATATTCAGTCGGAAGAGTTTAGGTAAGACTTTCAAAGTGACTCTCGACGGGAGAATCCAGGCTATTCAGGAAGAATCGCAGCAATTCCCCAATCCTAACGAAGTAGTTCCTCCGGAATCCAATGAACAACAACGATTACTTAGGATCAGCTTGCGAATTTGTGGCACCGTAGTAGAATCATTACCAATGGCACGCTGTGCGCCTAAGTGCGAAAAGACAGTGCAAGCTTTGTTATGCCGAAACCTAAATGTTAAGTCAGCAACACTTCCAAATGCCACTTCTTCCCGTCGCATCCGTCTTCAGGACGATCTAGTCACAGGTTTTCACTTCTCAGTGAGTGAAAGATTTGTCCCCGGGTGTACGTTGAAAGCTTCTATAGTAGAACTCATTCGAGAGGGCTTGGCGGTCTTAAGAATGGTTCGGGTGGGGGGTTTCTCTTAAGAATAAAGAAGACGAATAGAATATAATTCATGTTCATGCTAACAGAAGAGCGGATCCAATACCAAGACGACTTTCTTTCTCAGGAAGTGCAGCAAGTACTTGAAGAATTTTGGGATATCATGCCCCACGAGTGAGTTGCCAAGTACCCCCTAGGAGGGCAGTCTACCACAAGATCGAGTTGGAGCCTGGAGCCAAAGCCCCTTAACTTACTTAGACTGGGGCTGGGCAGATGGCCCCCCCCAACTAGCATCTATTAGTTAAGGGGCTTGGTTGAGCTCAGGAAAGAATTTCAGGAACTCATTGAGGCCTATTTATATTCCAGCCTCCAAGGCAGTTTTTCCCTATCTTGCTGGGGAAAGGGTTGAGGAGCCCCTGTTTTATTCCAGAAGAAGCGGGAGCCTTGTGCATTGATTATAGGGCGCTCAACAAGGTAACCTAACCATCAAGAACAAGTATCCACTTTGATTGCAGACTTCTTCGCCCTAATCAATAAGCGCGAGATACTTCTCGAAGTTGGATCTACGGTCGGGCTACTATCAAGTGCGTATCGCGGAAGGAGACGAGCCAAAGACGACCTGTGTGACAAGCAAGCAACCTTACTAATAAAGGGCGTTTGATGATTTGGTTATGCCTTTTGGACTCACCAATGCCCCTGCCACGTTCTGCACCCTCTATAATGAGCTATTCCACCCGTACTTAGACGACTGGTGGTATACTTTGATCGTGGGCTATAGCCATTCGTTAAACGACCACGTTAGCCACCTCCGGACCTTTTTTAAGGCATTAAGGAAGAATCACCTCTATGTAAAGAAAGATAAATGCTCCTTTGGACAGACGGAAATCCTATTCCTAGGGCATTGGATGGGCATCAGAGCCATCGAGGAGTGGCAAGCACCTACCAAGCCAAGGTGAGTAAGCTAAGATCGTTTTTAGGGCTCGTGAACTATTACCGAAGATTCATCGTAAGTTACTCGAAGGGGGCTGCTCGACTCAAAAATCTCCTAAAGTCACTATCTCGCCCAGCATATCTGCCGAGAGCAGGAGCATATCCAAGTCTCATATTCAGTTGAATCAGATCTAGTAGCGCTCACTACTGAGACGAAAGAAAGGAGCAAGATACGGCCTCTTTTTATCTTTTTTCCATCACATTATCTCTCTACTTTTCTGCACATCTTTTCGTAAAAAGACAAAAAGTGCACTTATTTAGGTCATCCCAAACATTCCCAATGAGGAAACTACAGTGATATTTACAAATAATTGAGGGAGTCTTGGTGCAATTAATCCAAAATATTTTACACACCAAAAAAAGAAAAGGTGAAAGTAAAAAATTTCTTATAAAAAGTTTTACGTGGAAAAATGTTTTCAAAACGTAGCGATTCAAATGGAGCCCTAGTTTCTCTTCTTTTTCACATAAGAAGAAACTTCTATAAAAATTGAGAGCCTCTCACCCTAGATTCTTCCTCAGCAAATTCAAAGTGAATCTCCCTAGTTTTCAACTTCCAGCTATTCTCGAAGAATTGCAGGTGTGATCCATGTTTGCATTCTTAATTTGAAGTTGATTTTCCTGTTCTAGAAGCTCAAAATTCTGGTTTTGGACGTCACGCTACTTCACGCATGTATGTTGGTAATCAAAGTATGGGGAAAACCCTAGCAATGAAACACGGATTACAACGGAGTTCTTCACAGTCACAAGGATGCCACTGGAGTGTATAATAATTCAATTAATGAAAATGAATCCTGATCAGAAAGTGAATTCAATGAACATTATCCATGTTCTTGAGAAAACAACTATAGCAAAGCCAAACTCTGTTTAGGAGGAAGTGGCAACTGAAATTTCCCATGGTGCCGATGCAAGGGCAAATAACTAGATTGCATTTTTTAAATATAGTTAAAGAAAGTCCTTGAAGAAAAGGAATTTTTATGCTCAGAGTAGAAGCTTTCAGTATCACAATTCCAGAGGACAAGAAAGGAACAAATTATCAGACACGGAAACCTAAAGATTCGCCTAAGATGCCGGAGAGATATTTCTCAGAAAGAATGAATGAATACCAAGTGGTGCAAAGACAGAAGATGCAAATAACACAGGAACAAGAGAAACCAATCAAATGTTCAAATCTTTCATATAACTTCAATATCAAGCTAGTTTGTGCAAGAGATTAAATTTTTTTCTATAACACTCAAAAAGATAACCTTGATACATATATCGTTAACTATATGCAGATACACAGGATTTCAAATTAGTGCTTCTCATTTGAAATGAAGTGGGATCTAACCTCTACCAGTGAAGCCGAAAACTGGCAGCCTGCATGAGTGGATGAGCCAGATATGCACCTAAAGTCAATGCAGTGATTGATAAATACGGCAATCGAATGAATTCTTTGTAGTAGTCTTTCGGCAACTTTTGTCGACCATCGAGGATGGCTGCAAATGGAATAACGCTTGTTCGGCTCTTCACAACGTCAAAGGCCTCACCATATCGTATAGCTAGCCTCCTGTCTCCATTCCAAACACCAAACAGATGGTGTCCTATCAGGCCAATGGAGGCTGCTGCTGCAACAGAGTTCCCAATCCAGATTGTGTGAGCCAAGCACCACATCACCTGCCCAACCATCTGCAGGAAAAATAAACAAATAAATTAACAAAAAGAATAAAAAACATTATTGGGCAACTTACAAAAATAGGGGAGAGAGAGAGAGAGAGAGAGTCCCTTATTGACATGCCACAACAAAGGAAGGTTTTGGACACCATGCAGAAATTAATAAAATTAATCCAATTTTTAAATTTTATTTTTGTTAGAATTTCCCATCTTTACCTTCACCTACTCCACTACACACTCCACTTCACCTACCTCCACTTCACCACACACTCCACTTCACCTAACCCACTATCACCTCCACTACACCTACTACCACATTTTCTTCTATATATAGATTGTATAGGAATTGTAATTAATCAATCTTGTAAGACATCAATCAATCAATAATACATAAATTCTTTCAATTTTTGTTAGCACCTATAACGAATCAACACCATCGCATTACCATGATCATCAGGGCTTCCTCCACTAAGATAATAATAATACTAAACACCAACTTCACTCATAGGAGGATAATAGTTAAGACATCAAGTACAATTGAACCAAAAAAAAAGACTTATATTTCCACCAGCCATCCAAAAACCACTTTCATAGCAAACTGGAAACCTTATCCATTGACTAGAATATCAAACCTATCCTCCTTAATTTCTTTTCTTATTTCCTTTTTTATTTTTATTTTTTATTTATTTATTTTTATTTTTTTGGAACTACTTTTCTTTTTTCTTGTTTGTCAATGTTCTGGAAACTTTGGTGGATGGTCCATACAGTAAACTATAGATTGATGTATTACGATTGAAGAATGAGATGAAAAAGAAAAAGAAACCCCACAAAAAAAAAAAAAAAAAGGAAGCCCAATTCTTCCATAGATTTGCATTATTTCAGTAAATGTGATACCAAAGTAGTCTAAGAAAATAACTTTCATTGTATCATCCACATTCCTAGCCAACAGGATATTTCATAGAGAAATATGAAACAGAACCAAATAAATGACAATTTTTTGAACTATTCATGTAACCAAATATTTTAAACATTCTTGTAATCAATGTTCTAAAGCATGGACTGTCGTTAAAATTGGGAAAAGGACTGGGTCAAGGGTCACTGGTTCAACCGTCAAGTCAAGTAGCATCGAACCGTGATGTCACAATTCTCATCAACATATTAAAAATTATATTTAAATAAAAAAAAAGTAATAAGACATATTCATTTAAATGATTTTTATATTTTAAGATACATATATGCTTATTGAATATCTACGTTTATATATACTATATATTTATATTGATTGCTTGTAAACAAATTACTATACTTGGTGTTTTGAGAGAAAATATATTGAATGCATAATACATAATATATATGGACCTAATATCAGTGGTGAGATAATTTATTGATTGAAGCACACTACCACTATGACAGGTTCTGTGTTCGAACCCCCTAGTGAAGGTTTTTTCAATGTTTGACAATGATCTAAGCAACGTAGAAGCTTTCCGGGTTGTTGAACCAGCTTTCGGTTCGAAAGGTTAGCCAGTTCAACCATCATGCTAGCCAGGTTTACAAAAATAGCCCATTTTGAATCTAAAACACATTCGGGGGTTAACCAGACCGGAAGCTAGACCAGTCAACGGATCAACCAGTCAAACAGCTAGTCTGGTCTAGTTTTCAAAACATTGCTTGTAATCCCCAGCACCAGCAGTAAACGAAAGCTATGATCCACAGCAATCAACCTCACCTAAGACAAATCTGGTTTTATATATTCACATGTTTCCTCTAAATGCTCAAGATAAGACTAGTCAGAATAGTATATGGACATTTTAGATAAAGGTGATGGATTATATACCTGTGGGTGCCTGGTTATTCTCATGATACCTGTCTCCCAAAGATGCATTTTAGGCTTATCAACAGCCGCTACCTCTAACAAATTAAAGGTTGAAGGATAGAGGAAAAAGAAGGAAATAAAATTAGAGAGCCACACAACTTGATGTAATCCAGGAACACTTTGCAGCTGCCACAACTGCACACCATCATATCGGTGGTTAATGAAGTATACCTGAATCACAGATAAGTGAAACACCAATCAAACTGGTTTAAACATTAAATAAAATTAAATAAGATGAAAAGACTTCATAAGGCCATAAATTCAAGGAAACACTAAACATATGTACGATCTTCCAGACATAATAAAGGGTTGAGAACTCACAACTGTACTAAGAGCCAACGGAAGAGATAAGCCCGCAAACAAAACACGGAAAGCACGTTCTCCAATGAGTTTCTCACCCTTATCTCTGAAACTAGCCAAGCCACTGTGGACAACGGCAAAAATGAGAGTAAGCGTAAACATCACAACCTGCAGAAGAATGTTTACAGGCTCAGCTTTCATAAACCTACAGATTACAAAAGACAATAGGATACAACATCCTCTAATACAAAAACCAACTGGTAAAGATCAACACATAGCAACAAATCCTTTTGACTATTACAATATGTAGCATGGAAATTAAGACCCTCATAAGCATGTATAAATAGAATAACAGTTACTTTGTGAAGTTCCAGCATAAGCATGAGAGGGAAGAACATCAGAATCCATTTAGCGTACTGGTAAATTTTCAGTACCAAGCCAGATTCTTGGTCCTGTTTTTTAAGTATCCAAATTGTATTGCCTTCATTAATCATAAGAAGCAGAAGAGAAGATGATGGAACGAGTTGTTCTAAACAAGGATCAGATCACATTTATCAGTAACCTTGACAAGATATCAAGTAAAATATATTCTAAATCAATTCAATTCAAGTTCCAATGGGCTAAGTTCCTCCATTATGAAACCGCTTCTGACCCATGACAACTTCAAAAAACTTGGCCAAATGCTTCCTAAAAGTGGATTTGCGGTGAACTTCAGTCATGCTTGATTTTTGAAAAGGCAAATAGCAGGAATTTCATGAATTAGGCTGTGGTAGTATAGACTAGAATCAAAACCTAAAATGTAGAGAAAAAAGGTTGCATATGAAAAGAGTTTATGTAGAATTACTATTTGGTAGGACACACATTAATGTGTACTATTTGGGCTTTGTCCTAAATCTGATCCTACGATCCAATCCTGTGAGTCCCTCCAATGATCCAATGTAGGTTCCCGACTTTGACACATTGGGTTTGATGCATGTGCCCTTACCCTTTTTTAAAATTTTGTCTAAAAATTTGCTCAAATTATACCATAAAACTTTGCTTGACTTTGCTAAAAAATTATTTTCGAGAAATTGTCTTAAACAACCCTTTTTTAGTGAACACTTTTAAGTTGTTTTTTGAATTTTCAACAACTTTTATTATCACAGATAAAAATCATGGGTTTCTCCAACTTTTTCACTGTTTTTTGAAAACACAAAAAAAAAAAATTACTAGAAATGAAAATGATACCAAATAGTTTTTGATGTAGAGTGCTTGGCCAAACAATTCCAAAACATATAAATAGGCATGTAGAAAAACAAGGCAAGCAACATTAGTAGGGACACAGTCTTAGAATTGCATTAAATTTGGAGCGATGAAAAAAGTCGTGGAGATCAGGATCTAGAATTTAGGCAAATTCCATCATTTAGGGCTTAAATTTTGCACTTTTTCCATTTTTTAAAGGTTCTTTATTATCAATTACTTGGCCCAAAAACAAATCCGATTTAAAGGCCTTACGTTGTGTTTGGTTGAGGAATTTGGGAAGAGATTTAGAACAGGAAAAGGAAAAGGAAAAGGTAGGTAAAATGTAAATAAAATTCATCTATATTTTACCTAGTTTCACACCCCTTTTCCCTCTATTTCCAAATCCCTTCTCAAATTCTCCAACCAAAAACAGCGTTAGGATTCCCCAGTTGATGAGTAATACGGAATTCCTTTACAGGTATTCTCTATATTTTTCCTATTATTCTAGTAATCTTTGGATTTAACAAAATTGCAGATGAGTTATGGTTCTTGCTGCTACAAATTTTGCTCTTCCCGCTACATTAGTTTTGAAATGTGACCATTAACAAAAATTCTTAGAGTCACCACCGCTTGATTCCCACCATCTAAAAAGGGATTGTATATCCATTCTTCAATCTACATTCTCTCTTCACCAAGGTTCATGGCATCTTCCTACTTTCAGTATAACAACACTCTTGAATGCTTATAATTGTTTCTGTTTTCAGTACCAAGAAATTAAATTTTCACCTCATCAATTAATCCAAATACTAGTTGCAAGTCTAAATTAAGTAGGTGTTTCAGTAAACTTTAGATGTCACATAATTGCTCTCTCTTTCAGCAACCATAAACAAGCATATAAGAGCCGGTTTGATTAGACAGATTATAGCATAGGATTGGGATAATTAATCCATGGGACTCAGATTCTAGTGTTTGGTTGCATTTTTTGTTGTCTGGATTAGATTCTGATGGGCATTCTGTCCAACAAAATTGGCGGGTTTTTAATCCTACAACTAATAATGCAAAACAAACATATTATTGGGATTATATATATATACATATATCCATTGCAAAATAATGTCGATGGGAAGAGATTATTTGTTCCACCAATCCAGTTGAATAATTAATCCTACGCTAATTCTATGGATTGTTAATACCCCAAGGCCATGTTTGTTTGGGCGGACTGGATTAGCATTCCCATGACTAATAGTCCTAGGATTACGAATCCGTTGGATTATGTATCCTATCTTAACTAATAATCAAGTTTAAAATAATTAATCCGTACTTCAATTGTTTAACCAAACATCAAATTAATAATTTTATTGGACTATTAGTCCAATCCCAAGCTCATGTCCACCCAAACAAACATGACCCAACTATTAAGCATGCTAATCAAACAAGAACTAAGAGCATCTCCCATGGTGTATCTTTTTTTTTTTAAATTTGAGCAAAAACTCTATTTGATATCGAGTGCTCCAATGGAATACTTTGAATTTTCATCAAAACACCGGGCAGATGTCCGGTCAGTCGACCAGCCAGTGTAATTTTTTCACAAATTTTTGCAAAGAGGTAGTCATCGGGGACATATGGTTATGAACAGTAAAATGATGAAAGGTCTCAGGCGTCTTCAATTTGGTAAACGATTATATTCGATTTGATACTCATTTGATGAAACAATTGGAGCAGAAAAAAAAAAGACAATTTTTCATCAAATTTAAATTTGATGAAAGAATTGATGAGCCATTAACTAGTACCATCATCAAATACCAAAAAATTTGAAAATAATAAAAATGTGAACTTGCTTACTAACCTCGTGGCTCTCTGAAATGGAGGAAACAGAATCAATGAAGGCTTTGCCGAACCCAGTAGAGCTATCGATCCAGGCCACGTCTAGCACAAGCAGAACAATCCCCAAAACGGCAGCGAAGGAAATCCAAGAGGAAATCTTCTGTTTGGCGAAATCGAATTCCGCAGAATCCTCGCCCACCAAAACATCATCAACTTCCTCCTCATCAGACAATTCCAACACTGACCTCGGAGTTGGTCCGTCGATTTGGGAGAGTATTCTTGTCAGAGGCTTTGATGAAAATTGTTTGCGACTACTGAGGAATGGTGAAGAATTGAATTGGGAGGGTTTGAAGGGGTTTGAAAGAGTGAAGAGTTTTGAGGTGGTTTTGAATTTATTAGTTGGGAGGTGAGAGTAGGGAGAGATGGGGTTTGAAAGGAGAAGAGAAGTCGCCATGTTGAGAGAGAGAGAATCAGGGGGGTTGTTATTTTATTCTATTTGTATGCTTGGGAGGAGAAGGAAAGGGAAAGGGAATCTGGAAGGAGTGATTCGTTCGGGTGGGTGATTTTGGAGGGAGGAATAGGACGAAATCAGCTGCAGCTGATATGGGAGGATCCATTTATCTCTTCTTCACAGATTAGGCCGCTCAGCTCAACTGTCACTTAGCAGCCGAACTCTAAACCAATCAACTGGGTTACTGGGTTGTGAACTCCACTATTCGTCCAATTGTCATTTGGAAAATTATACTGCCACCCAAAGGTTTACTTTTAGAAAAATGTTGTAGATCTTAAATAAATTATTAAATATTTTATCAAATTTTTTACATAGTTGTGAGGCTTATATATATATGATTTATATAAGTTTCATGCCTATACAAGAGATTTAATAAAATATTTAATAATTCATTTGAAATTTCTAACATAACTTTTACTTTTATGACAAGTTCCTCTATGATATTTGAGAAATTACATTACGTCCCTGTTAAAGTCTGAGTCCTGTTATAGATAAAAGAATAAAATGTCTAAATTACCTTTCAATATCCAACAAATTTATCAATCTCAAATCAATAAGGCCATATCCAACATTTAACTAAGGCCTAGTTTGGGAAGACTAAATAAGTGCACTTTTTGACTTTTTTGTATTATGTGTAGAAAAAGTAGAGAGGATATATTGATTGATGTGACCCAAAAAAGATAAAAAGATGAAATAAGTGCACTTTTTTGGGAGTAGCCAAACTAGGCCTAAATATGTCACCAAATTTAAATTTGGTAAAAAAGTATACTTTTTTTAGTTTCAATGATTTCATCAAAGTTGTATCAAATTAAGAACATTCCAAATCTTTTACTAAGGCCAAGTTTGACAAGTTGAAAAAAAGTCAAAAAGCTAAAAAATTATTTAAAAAGTTAAAAAGTTATCACTATTCACCAAAAGTCAAAAATTACGGCTACACAACTCTCAATCCTAATTTTCCCCTACACACTAATTTATACAATTTTTTAATACATATTTTTTCATAAAAAGTCAAAAAGTTAACCTAAACATCCATATTTTTTTCTCAATTTTTTAGTCCAAAAAGACAAAAAGTGCACTTATTTAGGACACCCCAAACAATCCCTAAATTGAGAATGTTTTTTACACATTTCAGCAATTTACTTGTTAGGGAAAATATGTGATTCTTCACAAGTAAATTAATTAATGAAAATAAAAACTAATGCGGAAAAATTAAATCAAAAGCAGCACGAAAATTTTACGCGATTCCCTCAATGTAAGGTACGTCCACGGGATCAAAATCCGATTCCACTATCAACCAAATAAGTTTCCAAACGATTACAAACGAGACACAAATAGTCTCACAAACCACCCTTAAGTATATTCCAAATAATCACAAATAAATAAGAGGAAATACCTCACCAAATAGATGAACAAAAGTCTTCAAACTAGAGTTGAAAAAAACCTAAAATAACGAACCAAATTATCTTCAAAACAGAAACACACCTTCGAAGTCCCTCGAAGATACTTTAGAATTCATTTTACCGCTGCCCAATGTTCTTTACCCGGATTAGAGAGAAACTGACTCACCACACCAACAGCGTGAGCAATATCCGACCTTGTACAAACCATGGCGTACATCAAAGAACCAACTGCTAAAGTATAAGAAACTTTCAACATCTCTTCTTTGTCTTTCTCACTTGTAGGATATTGATTCGAACTAAGCTTGAAGTAACTCGCAAGTGGACAACCAACCGGCTTTGCTTTATTCATGTTGAAGCTCTCAAGAACTTTCTCAATGTAACTTTCTTGAGACAACCAAATCAGTCCCTCTTTACGATCACGAACAATTTTCATACCAAGTATTTGCTTTGCCGGTCCCAAATCTTTCATAGCAAAAGACTTGCTCAACTCCAATTTCAACCTGTTTATCATGGTAGAATCTTGACATACAATTAACATGTCATCAACATAAAAGCAAAAGAATAATAAATTTGCCATCTGAAAATTTTTTCACAAACACACAATGGTCTAAAGTGGTTTTACAAAAACCATTATTCATCATGAAAGAGGCAAATTTTTTGTACCATTGCCGCGGAGCTTGCTTGAGACCATACAAACTTTTCTTCAATTTGCAAACAAATTTTTCTTTCCCTTTTTCCACAAAACCTTCTGGTTGCTCCATATAAATTTCTTCTTCAAGATCACCGTGAAGAAATGCGGTTTTCATATCAAGTTGTTCAACTTCAAGGTTCATACTTGCAGCTATGTCAAGTACAACCCGAATAGAAGACATCTTCACAACCGGTGAGAAAATCTCATCAAAGTCAATGCCTTTCTTTTGCCCAAAGTCTTTCACAACAAGATGTGCTTTGTACCTCAGATTTTTCCTATCATTCTTCAATTTGAAGACCCACTTATTTTTCAAAATTTTCCTCCCTTTAGGCAACTTCACTAAATCATAAGTGTGATTTTCAAGTAAGGAATTCATCTCCTCTTCCATGGCCTCTTTCCAATTATCTTTATTTGCGTGCTCAATTGCTTCTTGGTAGCTATGGGGCTCCCCTTGATCGGAAATCAACACAAATTCATTGGGAGGATACTTTTTTGAAGGTTGTCAGTCCCTTGTAGATTTCCTCAACTCAAGTTGTGCTGGCGGTTTTTGAATTGGATGCTCTTCCTCAATTTCTGGCTCAACTTCATTAGGATTAGCATCATCCTCCACTTCTTCAATAGGTGGCTGCACATCTCCCCCATTTTCATCATCAACTGAAGATGAAGGAGATAGATCTATGTCAATGAGATCACTAGTTTTTGGCTCCGGTTGATCACCTTTACCAAAGTCTTCAATTGTTTGGTCTTTAAGAAACACAACATCACGGCTTCGAATAACTTTCTTGTCGACTGGATCCCACAATCTATACCCGAATTCATCACGCCCATAACCAAGAAAAATACATTGTCTTGACTTAGGCCTCGTTTGGGAACAGGCTAATTTAGTAACTTTTTGGCTACTTGGCTAGCTAAAAAAAACTAGTATATTTGGGATGACTTTTTGGCTTTTTACAAAAAGATGTGCAAAAAGTAGAGAGAAAAGAGAATCTTTGACTTTTTGGTATGAGTTGTTGGCTTTTTGGCTAATTTAGTAACTTTTTGACTTTTTGGCTAAAAATGAGGGTTCCCAAACGAGGCCTTACTATCAAGCTTGGACCTCTCATCCTTTGGAATGTGAACAAAAATTTGGCAACCAAACACTCTCAAGTGCTCATAAGACGCATCTTTGCCAATCCAAACTCTTTTAGGAACATCACCATTCAAAGGATAGCAATGAGACAAATTGATCACGTCAACCGCTGTACTCATTGCCTCACCCCAAAAGGATCTTGGCAATTTAGTTTGTGAAAGAAAACACCTTGTTCTTTCCACAATGGTGCGGTTCATCCTCTCGGCAACGCCATTTTGTTGAGGAGTCTTCTTAACTGTCTTTTGGTGCCGAATACCTTGGCTGCGACAATACTCATCAAATGGCCCAATGTATTCACCACCATTGTCTGATCGGATGCACTTCAATTTCTACCATGTTTCTCTTTCAACCATGGCCTGAAAATACTTAAATACTTCTAGAACTTGAACTTTAATTTTTAGTAGAAAAACTCAAACTTTCCTTGAATAATCATCAATGAAAGTAACAAAACAAAGTGTACCACTATGTGTTCTAACTTTTAAAGGACCACAAACATCCGAATGAATTAACTCCAAAACATTTTCTTTTCTAGAAATAACATTTTTATGAAAAGAAACTCTATGTTGTTTACCCGCCAAACAATGCACGCAAGTTTTGAGATATGTACCTTTCAAATCGGGTAGAAGCTCTTTCTTGAACAAAACTTGTAGCCCTTTTTCACTCATATGGTCAAGCCTCTTGTGCCACAATTTGGTAGAAGTATCATCTTCAAGTGCATTGACAACACCTTTACAAATTTTTCCTTGCATCGAATAAAGTGTATGAGTCTTCTTGCACTTAGCCACCACCATAGAACCTTTTGTGAGCTTCCATATTCCATCACCAAATTTGTTGTTGAAGCCTTCGTCATCTAGCTTCCCAGTAGAGATCAAATTGAGGCGAATGTCGGGAACATGCCTCATATCTTTAAACAACAATTTGCAGCCCAAATTTGTTTCCAAGAAAACATCACCCATACCAATAATCTTAGACAAACCTTCATTACCCATTCAAACAGAACCATAATCTCCTTCGGTGTAGGTAGTGAAGAAATCAACTCGAGAAGTTACATGAAAAGAAGCACCAGAATCAATCACCCAATTGCTGTCTTGGCCCACAAAAGTGATACAATCATCTTCACAAACGACCATGAGATCATCGGTAGTAACTGCCGTTGTGTCTTCTTGCTTCTTATCCACACTTTTGTCACGCCTTTTCTTCTTGTTCTTGAGCTTTCAGCATTCTCGCTTCATGTGCCCTTTCTCATGGCAATAATAGCACTCAATGTCTTTCTTTGAAAAAGAACCATATTTTGATTTGTCACGGCTTTGATCACGACCATGAAGAGTCTTACTCCTCCCCCTTGTTTTTCTTTGGCTTCTCACAACAAATGCTTCCGAATAAGAGGAACCCGCTGATTTTCTTCTAGTTTCTTCATTCAACAAGCTACTAGTGACTTGGCCCATTGTGACAACTTCATCAGGTGCCAAATTACTAACCGTCACAACCAAAGTCTCCCAACTTTCGGGTAAAGAATTAAGTAGCATCAAAACCTGTAACTCGTCATCAAAAATAATTTTCATAGAAGCAAGTTGGTTAACAATACTCTTTATTTCATTCAAATGTTCTGGAATGGAGCTGCCATCTTTATATTTTAAATTAACCAACTTACGAAATAAAAAGGCTTTATTTGTGGCTGATTTTCTATCATAAAGACTCTCTAATTTTTTCCATAAATCATGTGCTGAAATTTCAGTAGCAATATGATGAAACATACTGTCATCAATCCATTGGCGGATAACACCAACGGCTTTTCGATTAAGCCTATTCCATTCATCATCGTTCATACCCTCGGGTTTG